TAAACGAAATCGCAATTAACTTTGACACGATTAAAGCCATAAATCCAAAAAACAAAACATAACTGTACAGTCGAACAAACACATGTAAACATGCGAACTTTCTGAGCACGGTATGATACGGCAACCGAAGCACGTGGCACCGCAGCTGTAAATGATACAGCAGCCGAATTTATCCCTTCCTTCAAAAAATAATACATTATAATGATACATTCACTACGATTTGTGGTAAGTACATAATGTATTCGATATATTATTTTATTAACGTAATTGTCATGAAAAACTGTGTTAATGAGGGTTTATAACAGTTTTGAAATCTTAAAAATGGGAGGTATGTTTATTTACAGGAAAAGCCCATAATGCCTTGTACTTCATTCTTAACTACGGACGTGCTATAACTAATACATCAACACAAATTCGACAATCCAAAACACCGTTCCATTCACAAAGATACATCGCCCAACAATGAGAAGCTATTCTGAGCATTTCAAACTGCAGTGTCATACAAAATATCGTAGGCTATTAGGAAAAAATATCGTTGGTATTTAATAAGACCATTCCAAGCAGTGCTACACTTCACTACAGGTTATGCTTCCAAAATATGCTGTATTTTTTTTAACTGTCGTAGATTTACATGAAATTAATTTCACTTTTTGATGAAGGAAACCAGAAGTTTGCGTCAATGTCAACTGAAACACATTCGCTTTCCATAATATAATAAATGGATTTAATGAAGAATTTCTTCGAAATTATAAGAAATGTTGCTCCATTTTACATGTAAATTAGAGACTGCCTTATCGGCGCGAGAAGGCGTCTGTAGTCACGAGTTGTTTCGATTGGCCAATCGAATGTTTACTGTCACCGCCCAGATCCGTAAAAACAAGCGTGACGATCACTTAATGGAGACGCAACGATGTCTCTGGAGCGATGTGGGTCGGGCACGCCATTCATTGACTTCTCCGCTGTCGAATCGTCGTCCTCCGGTTTGCGCCGTCGCCACGACGCTTCGTCCCGTCCCGCCCCTCCCCTCCCGTCCACTCCCACACACGAGAGGTTATCACGCGAGGATGTTGCTGCTGAACCCGACCCTCTTCTCTCGTTTGTTTAGCTCCTCGCTTTTCAAGTCATGCTGCTTAATTTGCATCTTCCTTTTACTTCTGTATCGAGAATGTTACGATATACGAGAGCGTGAAAATTGTATCTTCAGGACAGTTCAGAGTGAAAATGCAAAAAGTTGTTAATGTTACCGAGCAACAAACAATTTGTTCAACATTTGTTAAATTAATGGCGTTTTTTCCATTCTTTATGACCGATGAATGCCATTTTTAATCATTGCCTTGTTCGCTGATTAGTTTGTGAGATTCAGGCCTCAGTTTTGAATTGGCACATCATTGGAAGGCTTATCAAAATAATTTATGAACCATGACACAATATCTTATTTAAGTTAGTTGGGCGAAGCGCGCTCTTTCGCGCGCTGAGATACAGTGTGAGGTGGCCATGAAGGTCTGCAATCTCGGTTTACATGCATCTTGGGTACCATGCGGCAACGCCCATTGCATGACCAACTGTTTATCTTATCTCTTGTCTCTCGTAAATCCCCACGAATTTCGCAGGTGTGAATAATTTTTTAAAGCTCGTGTGATTTTTATGGCACGCAAAAGGAAACTGGATGAGTCCAGTGAGATAAATGAAATATCCAATTATTCAGTGATACGTTTCGACCTTCTATGTAAATATAGATATTCGTATATGTGCAATATCCTGCCCGGAGGATAGCAGTTTCAGTCGGCGGAAGGAAGTTGATACAACCTCTAAGTACAGGTTCCTTGAAAATGGTCGAAAAGTTTAAAGGTACTCATACATAATCTTGTATAAAATCAGAAATATATTGTCGTATTTGTAATTGTAATGGATTTACAACTAATTTATCTTTAAAAGTTTAATTAAGTTAAAAGTAAATTAAAACAATTTCATTTTAAGAACTTTCATTGTAAGAAATATTTAGATATAAAATGTTATATTGGTTTGTATATTTTATGAAAGATTTTGTGGATACATGACTTGAGGTAAATGATGCAAATGGGGTAAGTTAATTCGTGAATATGCTTTATTTCAGATATGAAGTTGGTTAATTCTTATATTTTATTAATTTAAACATCATTGAATAGAGTATTTCTCAATTTTGTTCGTGCAGATGTCTTATTTTAAAAACAAAGCTTCATTTTTCGCTGTGCTTTTGTGCAAATTCCGACCGCCTAGAACGCAAAGCAATGAACAAGAAAGTCATTGACGGTATTGAAATAATAGAGTGTTTTTTACAAGTTATTCATTTGAAAGACTTAACGCGACAATTTTGGAAAGAATTCTATAGTGCATGCGCCGGCATCGAATGACGGAATTTCGGTTGAATGGTCACGTCATTTTCCCTGTTTTGTCATCTACTTCAAATGTGTTCATGGTTACACTTTAAGTAGTGTTCGCCGCCATCACTTAACAGGAATTTGACACTAATACCCAATAAGCATGGAAATAATGAAAAGTACATTATCCATACTGCAAATCTAGTACGAATACGGCCCCGGCTCTCTTGCGGGGAAAGGGGAGAAGCCAGGAAGGCCACCTTCCCAAAAGTGACAGTGGCAAGGGCTGCAGCAGGAAATATTGCACATTTAATTTAAAATCACATGCCAGAAAGTATAAATTTCGAAACAAAATAATATCAAAACATTAACATATGTTACACCATTGCATTCCTCTTTTTATGTTTCATCTATTGCTAGTGAGAAAAATATACAATTCCATTTAAGAAATAAATGATTATTAAATTTCTCGGAAACTAAAATCATTTTAAACAATATCTCTACCGCATATTACCTGCCTCATGATTCCGCATTGTTGAGCAAAAATTTGTTGAAAGATCGATATCGTGAACCGTTTAGAAGATAAGGGCGTGGCCAATTGTTGGTGCGACACTGTATTTCACAATTATAACAGCCTCGTCCGACCTGGACGCCCTCTCCGGACGGCCATAGTTGTATCAAGAAGGACCTTCCGTCCCCTCATCTTGCCTCTTCCCCCTTCTCTCTCATGACGCTTCTTTTTGACTTCGCCGCTTCCTTCCATTTGGCCGCTGTTTTTCCTCCGCCTCCTTCCGTTTCGCCCGCTCCTCCCACCCTTTTCGATGCTTCCAATCCTCTTACTCCTTCTTCTTCTGTTCCTCTCACTTCTCCCGCTCTCCTCCGTCTATTTTTCCGTCTGTTCCTTCTTCCTCACCCGGTTCTTCTCGCTCCTTCCGGTCCCGCTCATCTCAACCATAGAGTAATGATAATACTTCCTTAGTCTATGGCTCAGCCCTGCGTCATCCGGCAACAATGACGCTCTGATGCATTGGAGATTGTATTTAACTAAATATTGTTTTAAAAAAATTGTGGGATAACAACTATGCTATTTTTATTTTAGGCTGTCCGAAAGTATTCATGTCAAATATTAGGGCAATCACTCTAGTCGTTCAAAATGTTTTGTGACAAAGAAACCTGCACGTTCTCACTTTTGTATAATACAAGAAGATAAAAGCATATAAAAATGGCAGCATGCCAGTTGAATATTGTTTATTCTGTTTTGACAACTGTGTGAAAACAAAACTTTGGAGTCATTATTGGATGGTTTCTTCTCAATCTATCCACGTACATTCGTAGTATTGCATGTTCCTTATATTCTAGGCAGAACAAAAAGCAACTAAAGCAGATTTTTACAAAAGGTCAACCCGAACGCTCGGAGCGCCTGCCGCGGCGCCATCGGCACTCGTGGGTTACGGGATTTGCATCATCCCAATCTGTACCAACCGCGCGCCGCCCCACGGAACGTGCTACAGCTCCGCCCCTCGGGGGAAGGGTGTCAGCACTGTTTATTTAGATGATGACGGAGATGGAGAGAGACATAATATGAAAGTGTAGTGTTAATAGCTAGTGCATGCACACAGTTGAAACTATTTCAAAATTTGCTGTTTAAATTGTGCTGTCACAATATAAGAGCATTTTAAAGTTTTCCTTTGCCTTCCGATGATCGTTTTGGCTTATTTCTTACTGCGATTGACTATTTTTGGCCTATTTCGAATTCTAGAACAAAGGTGTGAATAATCAGAAGAATTCTTTTCTGTAGGATACAGTTTTTGTTTCTGAACATTTCTTTAGAAGACAGGAAAGCGATTGTAATAATAATAATAATAATAATAATAATAATAATGTCATATTAACTAAGTTTTTCACTTTGTGTATTTCTAAACACTTTGTGAACACTTTGTATTAGAAATACTTTGTGTATTTCTAAACACGTAAGTTTACTCAGATATCTTCTGGAGTAATGTGCACAGAAGATTTCTGGCCACATGGGTATTCGACCACAAATACTTATGAACAGGCGCAAAGGACATCGAGAAAATCATTTTTGATAATGGACTCCAAAGACACTGGTATATATAATATAAGCATACGTTGTAGAAACGCCTCTGTAATTGACGTGTCGCAGTGGGATGTGCAGGGAGCGTATGATCTGTACTTAGTCTTTCCGGCCATACTAGGAATGAAAGGTTCTGATAGATGGATTATGGCGATCTGTGTCCAATCGCCCTTTAGAGAGTCTAGGTGTATTGTCTAGCCGATTTAATGTTTTCTTTTAAAGATTTTTTTTTATTTTGAATTAAAAATGATTTTGGATTGATTAATAATTATTTATAAACTATTCATTTGAGATATTCCCTGACTTCCGTTACCTTAAAAATAGGAGTAATATATATATATATATATAATATATATATAATATATATATATATATATATAACTATATCTTATTATTTTGTCATCCAGCTTTGGGGCGGCGGAGGGGGGAGAGGAAAACGCTTGGTGAGCAACAGCTCGAATTCGTTTTTGAATGATGAGTCAGAGATGAGAATGAGTTAGAAATCAGGGAGCGCAAGGGAAACGGTAAAAATTCCGAGAAAACCTTACCTGACGACTCGGCTTTGTCCGGATAAATCCCACAATCATTCTACCTGGGCCTGGTTTGAGCCTCTGAGGTGAGAAGAGTGAGCGGTCGGATCGCTACATCGGCCACAACCTCCTCAGTATATCTTAGACCAAAATGTGGCCGCTTCACAAGTCTGCCGGTGCGGTCTTATCACGGGCAATATTCGTGCAGCGATTTGGCGATCCGTTTTCTACCCTGCTAAACATTGTATGGTAGAATTCAAGCCGCTGTGATCGGTAGCTTTCCTCGATATTCTCCCCATCAATATCAGAGCGAATATCGGAGCTGCTATCTAACAAACAGACCACGGACCGCGCGAGCTATATTTTTCTTCTCCCCTTCTCTATCCTCTCCCCTAAACTACCCACACTTTACACTCTTCTGTAGATCCACTTACACACGAAATGTCGGGAGCACCAGTTGTAGTAGTCAGGAGCTTAGAGCTGTCTCTGGCTCATAGGCGGAATAACCCCACTTGGGGGGAGTATTCCTGGAGGAAAATTTCCCAGCAAGCCGACTTGTAGGTCGGCGCCGTACTCCGCCACAGCGATGAAACATTCACTATACTACGGACTACGTCCTTACAGCAACGTGCCCGGAATCATCGCTTGGGTCGCGCGGCGCGAGGAAGCTGGCGAGAGTCGCGTGCCCGGTCGCACCGAGGGCGCATCACGCGCGGCGCCTAGTCGCGGATGAGCTGGCGTGCGTCCGGCGAGCGAGCGCGCGGTCAATGGCTGGTGCCCACAGCGCAGCTCCAGGGCGCTGGGCAATTATGGGCTGCATCGGGGCGCGCTGCGAATACGACTCGCCAACCTCCCGCCGCGCCGAACGCCGCTGCGGATGCGGCGGCCGTCCCCAATATCAGTCGAGCGTCGGTTCCACTTCCCCGCTACGCTCGACCTGACCCTTGCCCCGTCACCAATTCCTCTCCTCTCCGCAGCCCTGCCACACCCCCCCACGCCCCCGAGCTTCGCTCAAGATCCGCCTGTCCCGCTCCGCTTCCGACACGTCAACGCAATCCACCGCACCCGCTACCGCCCCGCCCGCTGCCGACTCAGACTCCGCCACGAGTTCTGCCCCGTCCCGCTTCGCACCCGTCCCGCCCACCGTCCCGAGGCCTCGCCCCCGTCCCGCGCATGCTCCCGATCGCGCCACGCCGCGCTCTCTGCCGCTCCCAGTACACGCTCCGCCCGTCCGCCCCGCCGCCGCCTCGCGCCGCGCTGCACACCGTCCCGACACCGCCCCGGCTTTGCCCCGCCCCCTCCGTCCAACTTCACACTCCCGCTCTCCCAAAACTCGCTCCGCTCCAGCAGCGCTACCGAATTCCGATCCCCTGCGACTGGCCGGATTTCGATTATCATAATGCAGAAGCCTGCAACGCCGAACTCCGTTCGGCAGATGGCGCCATGTATAATTAGTAACCGAATAATTATAACGGCCCCAAGCCACGATTAAACCAGCGGATCCAAACCCGTTAACTAACACTTAAAAATACTGAATAATTAAACGCAATAGTACAAAACAGAACTCCCCGTTCGGCCCGGAGGCATAGTAGTATAGACCAGAATAGTAATACGAGCCCAAAAGAGCTACGATCAAACAGCGGTCCAAACGTTAACAACACTAAAATACTGAATATTCGCAATAGAAAGAAAGTGAACATAAACTATAACTCTTGCGGTTTAAATATTTAATGCTATTTTTTTGTCTCTGGCCAACAATTTTCATAGGCAATTTAAGAACTCATTGTATATTTTCCTTTCATTTAATGTTTTATTACAAATTATTCTTAATTTGAATAATTAATCATTTATATAAAAACCATAAAAAGAAAGAAAATATATGCAATGAGTTCTTCAATTGTCTATCAAAATTGCTGGCCAGAGACAAAAAATATACAAATACAGAATAATAACAAACCAATAAAAACTAAAATATTTTTACCTGATTGTTTGAATAATGAATTTTTTGTTTAAAATGTTTGGGGAGGATCCATAGGACACGTAGCTGGTTTATGATACATTAAACTTTAGTTTGCTTAAGCATTAAACCAACCCTGGCTCTTGTAAAGTACTATAGCTGGAAGATATGAAAGCAATGGATAATAGTAACTATCTAATCTAATTAATAGTATCTCGATATATCGACTCTTTAAATTTCCTTTTACTTTTCCTATGCTTTTGGTATTCAGTAACTCAAACTTACGTAGATGAGTCGAAGGATTCGATATTCAGTTTTGAAATGTCGTGGTCACACTACAAAATACTATGCTCCGAAGGATATGATTTTGATTGGTATAGAACTGTTTAAGATTCATTTCTGCGTAGAAAAGGAACTGTTGTGAATTATTGGTCGTTCTGCCTAGTACAAAAGAAAAAGGACTTCATCTTCCGTGCAACCACGGCTGTTTGCTGCATCTTTGTAAGACTTTGACCTCCTACCTTCCGACATACTGAGACTCATCAGTGAATGTCGATTAACAGTGGAAAGTGTGTAAACTGATTTACTTTTCGTCCAACATCTGTAAAATTCAAACAAAAGAACGTATCGAAGTGAATGGCAATCAAGTGTTGTCCATGCTTCCTCCAAAACTAGATATGTATTTACTATTTCCTTTTTCTCATTTTTATTTATTGTATGAGAAAAAAGTTAAAAACCTATGTTTCAATAGAATAGCAAAACACATATATATTATATTAGCCCACTTTCGGGTAAATTCACCTTGTGGTTCGTAGAAAGTGTATTAACCGTTTAGTTTTGTCTCTCGTTATTTTCATTTATTTTTCCAAGTGTAAGTTCACAATGAATTGAAAAATGCAAAAATTGAAATTACAGAAGAAAAAATTACCGTTGTATGGCCACAAAAAGCTTCATTTCATCAAAAACTTGCTTAAAACGAGAATTTCTTTGAAGTACAATTTTGCAAGTAATCTATAATTATTGTACTCTTCAAGTCGTATTCTGAAATACATCCTCCACTTGTCATATCCCGAAAATTCAAATTTCAGACCCGAGAATTTTAGTTTAGTCATACATTTTTTACGAGAGAATCTACAATTCTGATATGTTTTTTGTCGGTTGAGGTGTAACTCAATGCCCAATAAGAGATATCTGCTGTGTGCGAACCTCCCCTTGATCCCACTTTCGAAGGATCGTGTTTCTCGGCGTCTGCGACCAGCTTCTCACGTTTTGAGGTCTGTGGTGACGTTATTCCGGGCCATCGAAGACTATTCTTAGCTCTGCGAAAACTTATTTTCCTTCCTGGACTACTTTGATCTGCTTTGAATTTATAGCAGATACGGTTTAGAAAGAGCTACTACTACTTCCACTACTACTAGATTTTGTTCACCATAGCATTATCCATTGTACAATTAATGGAGCAAGCTTTTTTTTCCATACGTAATTCTTCAATAATTTCATACTAATATCACAATACTTTCATACTTTTTTCCCCATGGAAATTTACGCATGACAAATATCTTGGAAATAATTTTATAAATTACGCGTAGTTTTATTGCAAGAATCCACACAAGACGTTTCTTATTGCATTTTAAGAGTGTTCTCGAATGTTTGATTTCGAGGGTACGACTCATCACGAGTACGCGCGAGTAAAGCAGTAACAGGGCACGCTGCCCAAATAGACGACGCGTGTCAATAAACTCTGATGCAACGCTCACGCACTCCTCTGACAAATGAAAAGCGCTTCATTGGTTGACGGAGGGGCGTGTCCGTGGGCGATACGAGCACTTGGGTCGAAGTCTTAATTCAAAATGTTCGATGATTGTGAAATGAATAATTTGAATGATATTCTCGATACTATCTAGTTTCCGGTTCGATTGTTTGTTTGTTTGTTTTTTTTCGGCTCATTACTTGGGCTTCAAGAAGTCATGTAAGCTGATTGAGGAAATACATCTGAAAATGTCTCTAGTCAAATTATTATGATTGATTTTTTATGGTAACCAGCACACGCAAGTCCTTTGTATCAGTGGAAACAACACATTATAGATATTGAAAAAAGTTCACAAAAAGTTTGTTCTGCTCTGGCAATGGAATACTGGAATGGATAATAGTTATGGGTTATGTGGAAAACAAAATACCTCAAAAAAATGTGCAACAAATTGAAGATAAAAATCTCTTAAAATCAAACATTTTCATTTTTAAATTATGGTGTTGTGTTAATTGTGGTTTACTTATATTGTCGTTGTTATATTTATGACATTTAATTACGTTAAGTAATGTGAAAACGAACTGATTAGTATTAAATTATTTTGTTCCCCTGAAAATTGCTCTGTATCTAAACAGTTATGAAAACGAAATAGTTTAAACAAGTGATAAGAAAAACTGACAATGTGTGGCATCGGTTCTAGATAAGATTTTAATTCTTCAGGTTTTCATTAATTAACTTATTGATGTTTAAATATTATTTTGTTAGAAATATATGGCCAATTCTTCAATGAGTGTTGGAGCTGTAGAATAATGTTCATTAATAGTCGGTAGTAGGCGCCTACCCTTCATTAGTGCGTACTTTATCTATCCAACTAATTCGTAATACACTGTAAAAGTACAAGACAATTCGTTATGAAGAAACATATTACCTTATTCAATCACATTCAAGTATTTGTACTATATGTGTGCATTGTAAAATTAGAGACGCTCGTGATGACAGGTAAATAATTTATCTTGGTCCACAAATATTTTGTTTAATAGTCACAGTGACATACGTAGTTCACCAGCCTACTGTTTAACTATTTACGGGAAATTCGGATACCCTAATTTAGAAGTGAAATCTGTCCTGTTAATTGAGGGTACAAGGACTTATGTATTCCCAAGACCAGGTCCTTAGAAACAAAGAGAAATATTACTAACTACTTTATTTGAAAGCGTCGAACACAACTCGATAAAAGGATTAAACTCTAGCTTAGACCCGATTCTGTTCGTTGGCCAGACTCGGAGAACCAATGTTCTTAGAAGCGAAAATATTATTCAAATAAATGTCATTTTTCGTACCAACTTATTTGTT